CTAAAATACAAGTCCATAATCCATAATATTGCTTTCTCCAGTGAACATGTCAGTCATCTTGTCTGAATCAGGTGTGAAATATGCACAGACCAAGCAACACAAGTTAACATTTAAAACGTCTTAATGCTGGATTAGTTTCAGCTTTTGTCTTCTCCAGATGTGAACTGATGGACTGGAGTGCTGTGGATTACTTGTGATGTTTTAATCAACTCTCATTCTGACGTCACCCATTGACTGCTGAGCATCCATTGCTGAGACACTGATGCAGTGACACATTTCTCCAAATCTATATTTCTACAAACTCATCAGCTCATCTCAGATGGCCTGAGGGGGAGCATATTTTCAGCAAATTTTCCTTTTTGCATGAACTATTCTTTTAATGAACAGTACCGCATCTGAAGAAAGATCCACAGCTTGACATTTTCTATCCGTTTCTTAAGCAATGCGTAGTCGAATCTGGAGGCCCGTCTCTGCTGAGACTGCTTCTTTTGTTGTAGATGAGAATGCATTGTCATTGGTTCATGACATCACTTCCTGTTCTTAGGGTCTTACCACAGCTCTTCTGCATATGCGGATGGTCTTGTGGTTGGTTCTTTATTTTGTCATGCTCACACTTCAGTGTACCAGCGTCCACATCTGACACTGTTGGCCAGTCACAGACTACTCTTAAGACTCTTGGTTCTCAGCTCATTTAACACATCTGGCAGAAACAATTTTACACTTAAACATTACCACGTTGCCTGCCGTTCACGCCCCAAGAACAGGATGTGGTCTCATCTGCATTGCTGCATGCAAAAAAAAAGAAACAAAAAAGAAAGCAATCCCATGATGCAGCTTTCTTTTCCTTTAAACTGGTTAACAGTCTTTGAATGCTACTCTCTTTGTTTCTCATTGCATTATTCTGCCGTTCAGTCAAACAGAAGATGTTTTGATTGACAGTGATAACCATGGCCACAGAAAAATATAAAAATGCCAAAATATAACATTTGTAAATCTTACCGTGTAAATGCAAATGAATAGATCTGCTACAGCAATATTAACAAGAAAAAAAAAACAAATCAGTGATGATAACTAATAATAATAACAGATTTTGTTCTATTGCATGTGATGTATTTCTTTGTTCTTTATTTTAATATTTTAATGCTTTAATTCACTTGACTTTAAAGCAATGTGCACTTATTCTGAATATACTGGTTGCTGTATTATTGACTTATTATTAGCATTAAAAAAATAACACATTTAATATATATATTTTTTAATGATTTAATATGTAACAGTTCAATCAAATAAAATTGGGAAATTGTACTGGTATTACTAGAAATAGCACTACTAGAAACTAAATAACCAAATAAACTTTTTCAATTATTCCATGAAATGGAATGTACAAATGTTTCATATTTTAAAATACAGATACAAAGACATTAAGCAAAGAAACCTAATTTAACTATCTAGATTTTAATACAATGTATTTCACATTTATGTGTATGTACACATTATTGTATTTAAAAAAAAAAAAGATGCCTTGGAAATTTCATACAAAGAAGAGAACCACTGCTTTAGACAGTTTGCATGAATTAACAACAACTTCATTTTCTTTCCAGCGGTTTTATGAGCATCCTGACACAAGTGCTTTGTTCTTAATCAAAAACGGTCTTTAGAGCCTAGTTTTTGTAGATAATGAAGCTTCACAAACAGCTCTGATAGCATTTATAAAACAGTGAGCCACAGCTCACAGCACTACTCTCGTCTCTCTGCTGCTTATATACACTTGGAATGGTTTGATCAGTGATGAAATCGCTATGAGATCAAGTGGAGACCCAGCACAAAAATCCAAACTTTGTTCAACAAATGAAACAAATACGTCCTTACACTCAAACACTATTTTATTCATTTTTAAATATGCAGCATCATTTATGGTTCTATATTCTTGGTAGGTAATAATTCACAGCACAGAACACTGTATTTAAAGCATTCTTGCAGAGTTTTATTCGTGGTTTTTGAAGATGCACGCATGTCAAGCAACCTGTTTGTGTTGGCATCTGGTTCATTTGACTAGTTTCTACCAAAAGGCATACGATGCACGGCCTTTGACATGAACAACAAAAGCAGCAGAATCAGCCCTCACCCGCTGTTGTCCACTCTCTCCTGTGCAGACGCTGAACTCAGTGACTCCTCAGCCTCAGCCTGAAGACTGCAGCATTGCACTCCTTCCTCGAAATCACGACAAGAACCGTTTCATGGACAACCTCCCGCCCGACCGCTGCCTGCCGTTCCTCATCACCATCGACGGAGAGAGCAGCAACTACATCAATGCAGCGCTCATGGATGTAAGTATGGCTTCCTCGCTCTCGCTCTCTTTTCCTCGTCTCCTTTATGTTAGACACACGCTCTGTTCCAAAACCTAGTGAGCTGCCAATGGAGGAAAGATTTGAGGGCAGCCAAAAGGTAGGCAACTTAACTCTGCTGCCTTCTGAGATACCTTGTTTTAGTCAGTCTTTTAGCATTACCAATACTAAAAGTTATAGTAAACATATTGATTACAACAGTTCAGTATGATAAAAATGTCGGTCTTTATGCTGTGGATTCTTAATGAAACATGCTAACCTCAAACTCTACTGAGTCAGTCCCTCACTTGTGTGTAGTGTAGCTAGTAGACAGGGAGAGCTCTCATTGGATTTTGGAACGGAGCTACAGAAAGCTAGAGACAAATCCAGGTGGCAAGTCCTTTGAGTGGGACAGATGTTAGCGTGAGCCACTTTCAACCCTATTCCAGTCGCTCTGTAACGTGGTGACAGTGTCGTGTAGATCAGCGATACGATTATTCGTCTTGAATTAGTAAAGCATTCAATTCGCCTCTTTTTAGTAGTGTAATGAATTCATTCTTCTTGATGGCTGTATGAGGTCCTAAATTGAACTTTCTTTCATTTGGGTTTTCAAAAATAATTCCAAAGTCCAAACTGTTTTAGTAACATTGTCGGAAAGGACGAGGTAAGTGTAAGTGTGAATCTCTTGCTTTAAAGTGTTAATTTTGTTATTCATTAAAGGGGTCATATGACGTTGCTAAAAAGAACATTATTTTGTGTATTTGGTGTAATGAAATGTGTTTATGCGGTTTAAGGTTAAAAAAACACATTATTTTCCACATACTGTACATTATTGTTTCTCCTCTATGCCCCGCCTTTCTGAAACACGTCGATTTTTACAAAACTCATCGGTCTGAAAGCGAGGTGTGCTGTGATTGGCTGAATACCTCAAGCGTGTGACGGAAATGTTACGCCCCTCACCATACTGTGATGCCGTGTCCCGGCCGGAGCGACGAGACAAAAACATTAAAACCCATTATAAACGAGGCATTTGTTGCATCCAGTGGGGACATAATTACTGATTATAATGACTTATACTGTCTTTTTACACGTTGTGTTGCATCGCGCCGCGTAAACATAAAACTCTGTCTGCATTTGTGATCGGAGAAATAACAAACAACAAGCGCTACTCTACACTGCTCAAAACTCACATTTGAATCGTCAGTGGCTAATAATTTTAATAATAAAAACATACTTACAGGCTGGGAGTCAGCATTATTTGTCAGAACAGACGGCATTGTAGGCTACTCTCCCAAGAAATAGTCCTCGTCCTCCGTAAAACGCGTTGATCACATCTAATGAATCACAAATATTTGGTTTGAACTGTTCTGGAACAGTGTTGTAAATACAACTTAACTTGAAATTGCATCATGTGACCCCTTTAAAGGACAAGTTCACCCAAATCCTGAACGTTCTGCCATCATTTCTTGCCCTCAAGTCTGGAGGGGTTTCTTTCCCTTCTTTCTGTGGTAAACAACTGGAGATTTTTAACACTGTATTTATTTCCATACAACAAAAGTGAGTGGTGACCAGTTACTGTCAAGTTACAAAAAGAGTGCAAGAAACCACCATAAAAATAGTCCATACTGCACACTTATGCACTTTTTATTAACTGAACAGAAGCACAAATTTGTGATCCGAACCTGTCCCTCATTCAACGCTACCATATGACATCAGAAGTCTTTCAGCTTGAGTCGTATGAACTACTGTTAGTGTGTTTTGAGCATCACAGCCCTTGGTCACTGCAGGATTTCATTATATGTGACCCTGGACCGCAAAACCAGTCATAAGGGTCATTTTTTAAAAATGTATATGTAAACACCATCTCCAAGCTGAATAAATAATCTTTCCATTGATGTATGGTTTGTTAGGATAGGACAATATTTGGTCGAGATACAACTATTTGAAAATCTGGAATCTGAGGGTGCAAAAAAATCTAAATATTGAGAAAATCATCTTTAAAGTTGTTCAAATGAAGTTCTTAGCAATGCATATTACTAATCAAAAATTAAGTTTTGATATATTTACTGTAGGAAATGTACTAAATATCTTCATGGAACATAATCTTTACTTAATATCCTAATGATTTTTGGCATAACAGAAAAATCTATAATTTTGATCCATACAATGTATTGTTGGCTATTGCTACAAATATACCCCAGCGACTTAACACTGCTTTTGTGCTCCAGGGTCACATATGGAAAGTAGCCGCCTAAAGATTCCTCCAAAACTCTCCTTTTGACTTCCACAGAAGAAAGAAATGACACGAGGGCGAGTGAATTTTCAGTTTCTAGTTTGAGAATGCATTTGTTTAGTGTCTAGACTGATCTGTGGGGGACAGTGCATCCTTCTCCTAGTGCTTCATTTGTCATGGCTGTCTGTTTAAGTACTGTAATGAATTCGCTACATTTCTCCAAATCTGATGAAGAAACAAACTCATCTACATCTGGGATGGCCTGACGATGAGTACATTTTCAGCAAATCTTCACTTTTGGGTGAACTATTCCCTTAATGCAACAGCTGGTTATCTGTCAGTGGCTCCTGTGTGTGTTTGATCCGTGTGTAATCGGTGTGTTCAGGGCTGTCCTCAGTACTGGCCGGAGGGGGGGATGTTAAGATACGGCCCTGTAC